TTTTCCGTTTCGATTCGGGTCAGGTTGTCAGGTCGTGTTAATAATTGACACTCCTAATAATCACTATATATAATGAGAAGAAAATATGAATAGACTTGCCATTTAGAACTCACTATTACGACGCATGGCAATTAAACATTAATAATTTTTCCTGCAATCAATAATGCAAGTTAATACGAAGTACAAGTCCTCAAATATGAAGTACTGCAGTCAGCAAGTGCACATGAATGACTTCTTATTTTTCACTCCTTTTCACCTCTTTTTTTAGGATTTCAAGCAAGGTTTTAAAAGGCGAAATCGGGAATCGATGCATTTTTTCTATGCGAGGCAAGGCGTAAGCCTCGAGGCGGATTGAGGCGTAAGCCTCAAAATGATTAAAATAAATTAATTTAAAATTATAAATAATGACAAAAAATAACAAAATATTATGTCAACTATGAATTTGAAGATTTTTTTTAAGATAATATTACTGGAATACAAGATTTAAAATAAACTCACTTAAAAATAAAACATCCCCTTAGGATCAAGACCCAAAGCAGGCTCATCATCACTTTGATTGTCTTCAAAAGAATCTTCATAATTAATGTCAAATTCATCCTCAAACTCTTCTTCATCTATAACTTTTTTTTCTTTATCTCCTATATCAGTTAATATTTCATTAGCTCTAAAATGAAACAATAGTAACATTCAAAATAATTCATTATATTTAAGAATACCTTTGAATTTTTTTGAAGCTTCAATCTCACTTTGTTTCTTTCTTTTATATACTTGGGTAGTTGCTTCATTGTCTTCTTCATTGATATGAGTTTTTCCTTCTGCTTCAACTTCAAAAACATCAGCATTCTTAGGTGTAACTCATTCATCATCAGATTGTAACTCATCAGCAAGCAAAAGGTCAATTTTATTCTCAATATTTCCTTGATTTTGCAATTTGAGATGTTTATCTTTCAGTTTTTTGTTAAACATAACATAAACTAATTTGTTCATTCGATCTGCCGCCAATCGATTTCTTCTCTTTGTATGAATTGGATTGAAGATACTCTAATTACGCTCGCATGCAGAAGCCGAACACGTTAGGCTATGAACTTTAACTGCAAAAGCTTTCAATTCAAGAACATCATCTCCAAACTGAGCCCACCAACGTTCTATATGAAGACAAACATAGTATTTTATGAATATTTGTTGAAGTAGAAGACTTAAACATAAATATTAATATTAAAATTATAAATACACAAACTATAAACATACCAGGAGATCGTATTTTGTAGCATGCTTGTGCTGCTCTAAATTCAAACATTCTCTTCTTCAAATGAAAATCCTCAAGTTGATCATTCACTTTGAGGTAGTCTTCTTTAGAAATGAGTCTACCCATACATGCATACAAACCAGTTTTCACCTCTTTGTCAATATGAAAATCCTTATCATAATGAAATTGAGGGTTTAAATAGTGCGCATTAGCATGTAAGTGTTGGTGTAATTGTCGATTCCACTTTTCATTTATAATATCTCATATTTCTTTGTAGGCACTTTCTTGACCTCCCAATTCTTTTGCAATGTTTTCTTTAGCCCTATTCATTGCTTCATAAATAAATCTCATAGCCGGGGCCCTCTCACCATAAACCATTCTAAGCACCTTTACTAATGGTCCTGTTGTCTTCAAAGCATAATTTGTACTGCGTCAAAATGAATCGTCTTTCATAACAATCTTTTTAATTTATTTTCCTTCTTGTTTTTTGGCCCATGAACTTTTATCCCACTCTTCAGAAGCAAATATTGCTTCCAAAGGTTGTCTTAACTCCTTGAATCTCTGCAATGTTAAATATGTAGTAGTAAATCTTGTAACAGCAGGTCTAATAATTTCCTTATCAGTGAATTTTCTATCTTGTACAAAGCTTGAAGCATCTACTAATTTGAGAAAAACTATTCTATATGGATTGTTGATCAAGAAATTAATGATACTTCTGTGTCGAATATCTGACCAACCATCTGACATTATTGTCACTCATGTCTCAATCCAAGTCTTCTTAATATCATCCACCATTTTTGAAGTTGTCTTAACCTCCTCATTCAGCATCCAAGTCCTCAGCTCATACATGCTTAGAAGTTGTAGTCCTCTTCCAAAGCTTCCAACGGATCGTAACATATTGATCCATGATGGACTCCTAACAACATTAAATGGAATCTCATTTTCATAAATGAATCTAGCGATATCCAAACAAACTCTGTTCCTGAGTTCTTTTGTAGCTGTTAGAGGCTGAGGATCCTGAGTATTTATATTATCCTCGTCATCAATATTTATCATAAATCTATCCATAGGACGTCCAGTGCCTCAGTTAGAAGAAACTAGATGGCTTCCACTACTGGAACTTTCATGTTGTGATCCATAATAAGAAGAGTTTCTTATCATCTCTTCCATATTTCTTTGTGTGACCTCCTTTGTGGTGACAAATTTCTTTAAATAATATGTACAGTCCTTTTTCACCTCATCAGGTACTTTTGCACATTGTCCCACATTGACATGAGTGCAGGCTAGATGATCCTTCAACCTCTTGATGCCACCAGTTATGCGTTTCTCACAGAAATTATATTTCATATAAACATACCTCTTCTTTGCACCTTCACCTGACACTTCAACTTGAGTTACATATTTTCATGCAGGATCTTTCCTTCTTGTGCCACTAGTCACGCTAATAATTCATAAAAATAAATAATCAACATCAAATATGACAGATTTTAATAATTATTTGTACTACCAATAATAAGACAACATGAATACAACAATATACTGGTCTGTTGGGGGTCCAAGGGGGCAATGCCCCCTGGCGGGGTTCAATTACAATAAATCCTAATCTAAGCTGTCTTGAAGTCTTCAGCAGTCTGGAGTATGATTTTCCTGAAACGTTAATACACACAAACAACACATACAAAATTTCCAATATAGGTTAGGAAAAATAGTAATCAACACAATAAGATTTTGTAATCATTAAAAACACACATGATATAAAAACATAGTTTTTAAAACTAAGTTGCAACACCTTCTACTTGATCTCTATTGTAGCCACTTGTATCTTCTTCAAATTGAAGAGATAGCGCAATTTGACCGGAAGACGATGGCACAACTTTGAAATGTTCAACAATAGTGGCCAATGATTTAAATTTACTGATTTGGGAGCTAATTTGAATTCAATTTGACTTATTTTGAGTCTAATTGGACCTGATCTGAGTTAGATTTCACCTGATTAGGCTCGATTTGATTTAATTTGAGTTCAATTAAACACAATTTCAGGCTAATTGAGTTTGATCGAGTTAATTTTATAAATTTGGACTCAAATCGATGCTGATTTAAGTTGAATTGGTTTCAACAGGGCTCAATTGAGTTGATCTAATTCAAGTGACTCCGATCGTATCTGATTCGACTCGAATCGACATGAAAATTATATCAGCAACACCATAGTCTCGTCAAGGCATCCTAAATCATCTTTGTCAACCTCTCCATCTCCATGGGTCATAGTGAGTAGAAGAATTCAAGTTCTCCATGTCAACAAACAGTTCGAGTTTAGGTTGTTCGTTAAGTTGTGCATGTCTTCTAGTAACTGCATCAATTCATGCTCGCTGTACTATCTATTTTATCTATGGGTGATACTAGACCTTATTAGTAAGCAAGCCTAAGAGATTATGACCCGAGAACCTATCAAAGGAATATTATATGATAGGTACTTCTCTAGTTCAGAAGTACCACTAGATATTGCTAAAATATCCAAAATATCTCTATCCACTCTTTATTTATAGGAAACTAGAGCTACAGGAAATGCTACATCAAAAAAAGTTAACAACAACATCAATCCTTTTATCTCCCTACATGGGATCAGCTACATGAATCTTTTTTTTCTATTGTGTCCCGTTAAGAGTTAAATTCTCATTTAGATCTAATAAAGAGTAAAAAGTATAATAATTAAAGACCCTTAATATGGGCTTCCCTTGATACATGTCAGGCTTTAGCTGGCTTAGTGAATGACTATCTCTTATTTTTTTATCCCTCTATTTCAGGATGAGTTCCCTTCTCCCAAGAGCATACTGGCGAATAAACATGGTTGAGCTTGCTAGTGAGGGCCAAAATAAGAAAACTGCGGTTGAACACTCTGAAGTCTTGGACGACCACTTTGATGGGGTTCTGAATTACTTTAATGTAGGAGACAAGTCTATTAATGTAACAAGGGTAGCAGACTCCATGGTCAGTCGATTGTGACGATATGAGTTAGAACCCTCATAGAAAGATCCTTAAATATAGCTTATATGATGACTATTGTTAATGATGTTCCACCCTAGGCAGCAGTGAGTGGCTTCAATGGGTGCTCTCGCCGAGGGGCGAGTCCCGATTTGAGTGGTCCATGAGAACCCTTAGCTTTCTTGTAGGAGGAAACTCCTCTCCATCTATTTTACCATATTGTAGATTGGTGACCTTTAGATGGCTTGTCATTTGCCGAGGCCCAACAGATACAAGTTCACTTGTTATGACCTATTAGCTACTTATTAAATACCTGAAAAGACATAATCGAGTGTACAAAACACTCCCTTGATCATGTATTAGTGGGAACTCCATACACTAGATTTATCAAGCTCCACATCTTTCTCACCTTCACTTCAAATTATTATGGGACTTGAAGACTTTAGAAAATATTCAATAATTATGTATTATATACTGAATCCCATCTAACCAAGTTATGTTATCTAAACTTGTATGAAATTGTATGAACGTTTTATAGATTTCCGTATGGTGACCATTTTTTATTATAAAAAAATAACATAGCAAAAAAAAAGTAAGCACACAAATTCATACTCAAAAAACAAATTCCTAAATTTGGGAAATTAAAAGTTGTTTTCTGGGTCAAAATTTTCCTCTTTTTATTAAACAAAAAATAACAAAAATGTTAAATCAATTGCAAATATGTTCACATCAAATTAAAGGGTTGAAAAAAAAAATAATTAAGCTAACATATTACCTTGGCTCTCTTAAAAAGATCTCGAATTCGAGCAGAACCAACACCAACCAAAACTTCAACAAACTCGGAGCCAGCCATTTGATAAAATGGTACACCAGCTTCACCAGCAATAGCTTTTGCAACTAGAGTCTAGAAAAGTTAAGAGTTTAATAGGTTAGAAGAGAAAGACCACCTCAAAAAACACACCTTCTAAATATCATATACCTTGCCACATCCAGGAGGGCCTTCCAATAGGACTCCGTGAGGAGGCTTGATTCCCATCTTATCAAACAATTCTGGATTCTTTAGATACCTAACCAGCTGGCCAAATGATAAAACACCAGTTAAAAGAAACATGAATTTTATTTGGTTCAACGGACATGAAAATCATAATCAGCTTTTCTGTTTTAAAAGATGTTTCGATTAGCTCAAAAGATAAATTGCTTTGGTCAAAGTTGTTTTTAGCATGAGTTAAACAAGATTTTGTTGTCTTCCTGAAATCAATTAGCATATAACTTACCAGTATTTCTTCATTCGAGGAGTTTGATCGGGAAATAAAATAAAGTGGACAAGTAATATGGGAAATTCTAAAGAAACTGGAACAGATATAGTCTAAATGGTCGGATTCCATAATGTCTAACCTCCTGTAGTTCCTCCACTGCTTCATCAATACCTGCTACATCATTGAATGTTACTCCTGTTGAGCCCTAATATACCAAGACAAATGAGCACGTCAAAGCATAAAATTCCTGGGTCTTGCATCCATCTTTATAGCAGAAGGATGATAAAGTTGAAAATATTCAAAACAGAAGTAGCTGGTAGGATGGGCAGCCTTTCTAACATACATCAACTCGAGCTTGTGGTTTAGACTGGCCAAATTCTATGCCTTGCCAAATATCCTGAACGAAGAATGTGTGCAACATAATAAAGGTTTAAAAGCTACACACTACCATACAGCAATGAACAACTCATATAAAGTCACAAGTAAATTCAAAGAATTTAATAAAAAAGAGAAGAGTACCCATTTCCTGAAGTTCTTTGGCCTCCTAGATAGAGTGAAACGAACAAGTAGGACCATAGTTACAAAGACCAACAAGATTGGTTTAAGCACCTCAAGGCTAGCAGAAACACCACCAAAAGTATATAATTCATATATTTTTGAAAGAAAACCTCCATCACTGTACATATCAATGATATATTCCCATATACATTCAGCAATATTGGAAAAAATACCAAGTGCAAGCATGAGAAATGGTCTGACTAAAGGCCAAAGAACATAAACTGTAGCAGCATAAAAAAAACTGGTCACTGCAAAGGCAGCAGATGCCATGAAACCTGCAATTACTACAGCAAAGGCAGCCATTAAGGCTGTTACCATCCCAAACTCAACCATAATTCTGCAAGATATGGAAGAAGCCACAGGATGAGGATATTCTTCTATTTTGCCCACATAAGACTGCATCATAAAATCAGATATTAAAAAACATAAATTTGAGTTACTATTCCAAAAATTAAAAAGACACCAAAGAATAGGCAGTCGGGGAGGGAATTCCAAGAAAACGAAGCATGTTTATTACTCATTCCAATGTATTTTAGTCATAAGTGATTGTATTTACAAATTTTCAAAGTACGCACATCTCTTGAAGAACTCCTTAACCTGATAATAGTAGTAAATTCTTGCAGACTAGAACTATGGCGTTACGAGTAAACCCTAGACACTGCAGAGATTATCAATGGCAGCTGAATCCAAAGTAGCTCATGAGTGTAGGAAACTGTAGAGATCATCCATCGTGGATGATTCAGTGTTCAGCATGCGTGCAATGCACATAAGAGAGACATTCAACCAAGTTATATCATATATTTCTTTTATAGTCACTGCGAAAGATTGTTAGGAAGTAGACACGAGCATTTCTAAGCCCGTGCAATTTAGATAAAAAAAGCCGTAGAGGAGAAAAATATTAAAACGAATATTCAAAACATACTTTTATCACTTCTATGTCCTTCTTCAAGAAAATGGATCTGCTAGCAAACCACTATATTTGAGCCATAACTAATCTATCAAAGAAATTTGCATTTTTTTCATATCAAACCTCAGTAGATGATGCAAAACAAACAAAGCATCTTTAAATTGGAAAATATCAACCAGAGCCAAAAATCTGATATAACTAATAGAAATAGCTTACCATCATTTGCTTCTCTATCTCATACTGTGCACCTTTGTACTCCGCCAAGACCGCCTGTGCCTGAGTCGCACTTAACCTAATGGCCCTGACATCATGGGAAAGAAGATAGAACAACAAGGAACATAGCAAAAGAAAACTTTGGGAAAGCAGGAAACGATAGTTAGAAAGTTTACCATCTTGTCTTCTGTAAGTTTTTATCTCCAGGTATTTCAATGAGGACAACAATGAAATCTGTATAACCAACACCAGGAGCACCAACCATGGATTTTGATGTCAACTGCTTGATCTTACCAGCCGTGAGATGTTTCTGGAAATCCTCAAAGCTCATCAAGGGAAGCTCGCGCATGTCCCGCTCAAACTCCTCCTCCTCCGACAAGTTCTCCCTAAACACCTCCTCGGGAACGTAAAGCTTACCCTTGAACTCCCTGAGAATGTCCTTGAGATGAACCGGGCTGTCAGCTTGGGTTACATACTCCCCAGTGCCTTCGTGTCCAATCTTCCCACTAGCCCCGTAAGAATCACCCAGCAAGCGCTTAACCAGCTGAAGAACTCTCAAGCCAGAAGGTTTCCGAGATCCCTGCTTGTCCCTTAGAGTGAGGAATCTCTCACCGAAGAGGAACCTCGGCTCGACCTGGGTGGGGTTTTCTTTCAAAACCTTGGATATAAACTCATCCTCGCCACCACCGGTGGCTGTGGCGGCCGTAACGTAGGAGCCGCGTAGAGGAGCAGCGGATAGGAGTTTCGACCTAAACAGAAGAGAATTGGATCGTAGCCTTGTGAAATTAGAAGCTGGAATGGATCTCGGGAAGTGGTGGATCCTAGATGAGCACAGAAGGCTTCCTTCGCTCATGGATGCGGGGAGCATAGCGGGAGAAGCACGAGAGGATGGCTGTACCTGGATATAATGACTACGAGTTTATTGATAAATATATGGTTTGGAAGTATTGGTGCGTAGTCTCTCGAATTAGAGTAAAATTTTGAATCATTTGAAATGAAATTTTTAGTTTAAGTTTTTTTGTACTTCAAAATTTTAAAATTGGCTGATTGTTAAATTTGCTCTAAATTATATATTATTATCTTTCTAAGCTATTAGGAATGTAAACGAATTGAGGGAGTATTTATCGTATCAAACTAAGTGCATTTAAATCTTAGTTAGCTTGAACTCAATTACTTGCCGCGAGCTCAGCTCGTTTATAATTTAACAAGTTCAAATTCGACTTAATTGCTTGAGCTAAACATTTTTTGTTGAGCTTGCTTAAATAATTTTAAATAAAAATTTTCAATTTTTTTCTAGAAGCTCTACGTATAACTCATAATTAAAATTTATTTTCAATTATAATAAATAACCTAACTAGTCATAATATGTACTAAACTTTCGCTTTTGATTTTTAAATAAAAAAAATTTCAAGTTATACAAGAAATAAATATATGAGCTTAAATTGACTCTCCAATTATCATGTGTATTTTTTATGTAGCTAAGCATAAAATAAAATTTTGAACAAGCTTTGAATATCAAACTGAAAAGGAAGAGGAAGGAAGAGGAGAAACCAATGGTGAAGAAGGGCAAGAAGAAATTTTAAAGAGTTTTTTGGGTGGACTCAACTTCAGACCCATCAGATACTGAAAAGGAAGAGGAAGTCACCAATATATGCTTGATGGTCGATAATCTTGATCAGTCAGATCAATAAGAGGTATGTGACTTGACTTATGATGAATTTTTAGAAGTCTCTGAAAGTATATATGTTACATATAGGAAGTTAAAGAAAATGCATGCTAGTCTAAACTTAGAGTTATAAGAACTGCAAAGAGAATAAGAGATCCTTAGGAAAGATCATGCTTTAATTGATAATAACCACATGAAATTACTTGATGAGTTTGACGATTTGAATAAGAACCATGAAAATTTAAAATCATCCTATGCAGAACTTGAAAAAGAATTTAAAGATTTTAAGGATGAATCTGAGAGCAAAAATTATCGGATAAATTATACAAATCGTATATTGAAAGATATGAATACCTTTTACAAATTGAAGATAAAAGCTCTCGAGGATAATAGGATACCCCCAACTCTTAAAGATTTTATAAATTCTATTTTATATCCAAATTTTTTAAAACTCAGCATGAAACATAACAATTATAGAAATTTGAGAAATCCATTTCTTAGAGTTAAATGTTTTAATTGTGGCATGTTTGGACACATGGCACACACCTATACTTTGGATAGAAAAACTCACTTGGTGTGGAAGCCTAAGATGCATAAAAATAGACATATCATACATGCATTTGCTTATAATTTGCAAAAAGGTGAACCCAAACTTGTTTGGGTTCCCAAGTCTAACGTTTGATGATTTTGTATGATCGCTCTCACACAAGGCCTCGTGAGAGCATATGGTACCTGAACAGCAGTTGTTTAAAGCATATGATTGGAGATACTGCATAATTCATATCGCTAGAAGCCAAGAGTGAGGGCAGAAATACACTTGGAGATAACACCACAAGGAAGGTGGTTGGGTCAAGTATGATTAGAAATCTGAAAAACTTTTTTATTGAGAATGTACTACTTGTAGAAGGCTTAAAGCATAATCTGTTAAATATTAGCCTACTATGTGATAAATGATAATGTGTTAAATTTTTTCCTACTAGCTGTATATTAAGCCTAAATGGTAATGATATTTTGCATGGTATACATGTAAATAATATCTATATACTAGATTTGAATTGTATCAAAACTATAATGCATTTTGTTTAAAAACTATGTCTGATGAGTCATGGCTTTGGCATAGGAGACTTTGTTACTCTAGCAAGAAAAACCTTAGAAGGATTACCCAAAAGAACTTAGTGAGAGATATACCAAAATTAGACTTTACTAAGGATCACCTTTGCGATGCATGTCAATTAGGAAAACAGGTGAAGTCCACTTTTTAGTCTAATAAGGATCTTAGAACTAGTAAACCATTTGAGATTTTACATATGGATCTTTTTGGACCAATTGGAACTATAAGTCTATGAGAGAAGGTATACGGATTTATAATTGTGGATGATTTTTCTAGATTCACATGGGTTAAATTTTTATATCATAAGAGTGAATCATTTGATGAATTTAGAAATTTTTTAACTTGGATTCAAAGAAAACTAGGATGCAAGATTTTCATAATTCAAAGTGATCATTGATGAGAATTTAAAAATAAAAAATTTGAGGATTTTTGTAAGGAGAAGTGATTGATCATAATTTTTCTGCACCTAGAACCCCTTAGCAGAATGGGATAGTTGAAAGAAAAAATATAATATTAATAGAAGCCGCTCGAGCCATGTTGGCAGAATATTTACTTCCTAAATATTTTTGGGCTGAGGCGGTTAGCACGCATATTATGTTCTGAATATGGTGAATTTTAGATCAAACTTAAATAAAACACCCTATGAGTTACTAAAGGGAAGAACACCAAATTTGTCATATTTAAATATTTTTTGATGTAAGGTGTTCATATATAACAGTGAAAAATCTGTCTTAGAAAAATTTGATCCAAAATCAGATGAAAGAATTTTTATAGGATACTCAAGTCTTGGAAAATCTTATAGAGTAATCAATAAAAGAACTTCGATAATTGCGGAGACCACACATATTGTATTTGATGAATCTCGAATTTTGGTAGAGCTGATTATTGAAGAGGATGAGATAGAGATTAACTCCCAAAAGATCGAGAAAATAAATTTGGATGAAAATTTAAAGATAGAAAACTTAATGCCTAGAGATTTGAGATTTTCTAAAAACCACCCAAATGAATTGATTATAGGTAAACTTAGTGAGGGTGTTAAGACTAGGCGTGGACTGGACAAAGAAGTCAATCATTCATCCTTTATTTCAATGATAGAACCCAAAAATATTGATCAAGCACTTTGGATGAATTTTGGATATTGGCTATATAAGAAGAATTAAATTAATTTGTAAGAAATAAAGTTTGTGAATTAACTGCAAGGCCAAAGGATTAAAATATAGTTGGAACTAAGTTGGTATTTAAGAATAAAATAAATAACTCATGATTAGTTATTAGAAATAAGGCAAGATTGGTGGCTAAGGGGTATAATCAGATTGAAGGGATTAATTTTGAGGAGACTTTTTCTCCAATTGCTAGACTTAAAGCAATTAAGATTTTGTTAGTCTTTGCCTATTTTAGAGGATTTAAATTATATCAAATGAATATTAAAAGTGTTTTTTAAATGGGGTGATTCAAGAGGATGTTTATGTGGAACAACCTCTAGGCTTTGAAAATTCTAAACATCTAAATCATGTTTTCAAATTGAAAAATGCATTATACGGATTGAAACAAGCACCTAGGGCTTGGTATGAGAGGTTGAGCACCTTCCTACTTGAGAGATCTTTTGAAAAAGGAAGTGTGGACACAACTCTCTTTTTGAAGAAATTAGGAGATGATATACTCATTGTATAAATTTATATTGATGATATCATCTTTGGATATACAACTAAAAATTTTTGTGATAATTTTTCAAAAATAAAGAGTAGTGAATTTGAGATGAGTCTAATGGGAGATTTGAGTTTCTTTTTAGGCTTTAGCATTAAGCAAATTGAGGAGGGTATATTTCTTAATAAGTCAAAATATATTAAGGACATTCTCAAAAAGTATGAAATGGATAATGCTAAACCTGTTAGTACACCTATGAGTTTCTCTGTTCAGTTGGATAAGGACCCTAAGGGAAAATATGTTGATCAAAAGAAATTTAGGGGAATAATTAGATCTTTGCTTTACTTGACAGCTAGCCGACCAGATATCATGTTTACGATTTATTTATGTGCTAGATTTCAATCAGATCCAAAAGAATCACATTTGACAGCAGTGAAAAGCATTTTAAGATATCTCTTGAAAATTGAGAACTTAGGAATTTGGTATCCTAAGTTTAGCTCTTCATTTGAAATAATTGGATATTCAGATTCAAACTTTACAAGTTGTAGGGTTGATAGAAAGAGCACTTCTGGAACATATCAATTTATTAGAAATTCTTTAGTATCTTGGTCCAGTAGAAAATAGAATTTCGTAGCCCTATTTACTACTGAAGCTGAATACAAAGCCTTAGAAAATTGTGCGGCACAAGTATTTTAGTTGAAATAATAGTTGATTGATTTAGGATTAATAATAGGCACTATTACCATTTATTGTGATAACACTAGTACCATTTGTATTTCTAAAAATCCTATTCAACATTCAAGAACCAAACATATAGACACCAGGCATCATTTCATAAGGGATCATGTAACAAAAGGTGAAATTGAACCCAATCATTGTTCAACTTAAAATCAACTTACAGACATTTTTTACAAAACCACTAGCCTTTGATACCTTTAGTACATTAAGAACAAGGCTTGAAATGATTGATTTAAATGCTTAAATAAAGATTTTTGTAACATTGATATGTGTTTTGTTAGTGTGCGTTTTGGTTTTGTGATTTTTCTGTATGTATTTTTTTATTTTTGTTCATGTTTGCTTTTGTAATCTCTGTTAAGATAGTTGCTATTTGCATGCTTTACATTT